GTAGGGAAAAGGAAGTCACAATGATGCTCGCAAGGGCAAGGCTAATGGGGTTAAGTAATGTAAAATATTGCATTTGAGGTGTTCAATATGTAAATTGAAAAGTTTTGAGTGCTATGTTTGGAACACACCCTCGCCCCCAAAAAATAAATAGAAGGGAAATTTACATACCATCATATAAATTTTTATGTATTTATGTATGCCACTCAAACTTTCATATTTACACAGATTTTTGGTGCTTTGAACTTGTGCATGAAAATTTGTATTTGACTTTTAAAAAATGATAGTAGTGTTATTTTTGATGTGATATTAAAGATTTGAATGCTATCTTTGTAAATATGAAAGTTTAAATGTGAGATATGTAAATACATAAGAATTTTGTGCTTTGTATGTAAATGCCCCTAACAAAAAAATTCTTTGCGGATAAACAATACGTATTTTGCGAAGTTCCACTCTTGTAGATGTTAATTTTCTTATCTGCATTGTAGCAACTTCTATAAACTTTTAAATTTACACATTAAATAGGCCATTACATTGAAATAAAAATTTTGCTCAACTTCTCAGGAAGAAGAAAGTTACTGCCCATTGGAGAAAGTTCATTAGTCCTCTAATGTGGAGGTGCCAATGGCTAGAACTTCGGATGAAAGAACTGCAATCACAAGCTCTAAGATACGATAAAGAACTCGCGGCATACACACACGAAAAGGAACTACAATTAAAAATGATCGATCTCGATTATTCAGTTTCAAAAACTGTTCCTTTAAGCTCTAAAAACCACAGAAAACCAGCGATGAAGAGAAGAAAAAGGAAGAGAAATGAGGATAGTATTAATATATTGTCGTATATGTCGAACCACAATATATTCTCATACTATGGTATTTATTTATTTATTTTTCTACGGGTTTCTTACTATTTTGTGAAACATTTATTATATTAAGATTTGCATATTCATGCAGAGAAAAAGAGAGGCGACACAGATGGCCACTCAGTTGATAACGACCTCTCCGATCATGGTAAACTATGCCTACCTTTCTCGCTATGAGTGTTTTCTGAGAATGCGAGTTCGTTTATGTTTGAGAAATGTGTCAAAATTGTTCTTTAACTCTGTGTTAGCGGTCATTTTAGTCTTAGAGTGTATAAAGATGTCGATTTAGTCATTAAACACTTCTAAAGGAGGCTATTATAATCCTTTTTAGGGATTAGTTCAAGCTATATTAAAATATTATGAGACTAATTTGACACTTTTATAGATTCTGAGACAAAAAGAAGCCCATGTAAATGGTGAAGGGAGTATTTTTGCACTTTATTGGTATATTTCGTTTCTAAAAGGTTAGCGCCGTTAAAATTCTACTGCACCAGCGAATCTGTTTTTAATTCTCTCTCCCAGATGTCCAATCACTACTATCTTTATTTGACTTGGGAATATTTATAGGCAACTGACCCTCTATTTCTCAACCATGAAAATATACTTTCTCCCATCTTTGGCACAATATATTTACTTTCCAAAGAGTGAATTGAGCTGTAATTATATATTTGTTTATTTAAATGTGTGTCATCTAATTAAGTTATTGATTTCGTAAGTTTTGACCTTGCCATTATCTATGTTGTGCATTGAAGCTTAATATTTTCTTGGACGCTTGGACCTTCTTTGGGATCATTTTTGTTTTTTATTTTTCATGTTTTAAACCTATGCATGAAAAATATGTATTTGACTTTTAAAATGTGGCAATAGTACTTTTTTTTTGATGTGATATTAAATATTTGAGGGGCCATGAGTGTAAATATGAAAGTTTAGGTGTGAGATATGTAAATATATAATAGTTGTGTGCTATGTATGTAAATACCCATTTTTTTTACCATTTTATAATTTTCTTCACTGTTGTGAATCAGCGAACGACATCACACGAGGCGGCGACGATCACTTATGGGCTCTAGACTTCAGGGACGGCGATGGCGATCGCTTGCTCGAGCAAGTCCTTATGAATATTGAAGCTCTCCAGTCTCGAGTTTTGAGGGTAAAGGCTCGTCTCAACCAGATAATGAGCACGAATGTCAGAGATGCGCAAAGCCCGAGTTGTTCACTCGGCAATATCGGAAAACAAATCCCTGCTGGAGTTTCGAACACCTCCCCCCGCCACGGTTCTGAGTATGAGATGGACGATATGGTTTTGCCTGGCAGCGCAGTCTCGAGCTTTGGAGATGCTCCAGATCTCGATATTATTGAGAGTACAATGGGCTTCTTGTCTGGTGCTGATGTGCCTTTGGATCCAAATCAGTTGGTGGACTTCTGCAAAGATGTAAGTTTTCTTCTTTGGAGATTATTGGACAAATTCTATTATAATACATAATGTTGCATTGGTGATCATTTATTTGTCAAAAAATCCATCTTTTTATTGAAATTTTATTGTAGTCTTTATGCACATGTTAAGTTTGTCTGCATTGAGGTTCCCACAAGTCTGCATTCATGATTCCACTTATCTTTTCAATGGCTGGTATTTTTTTTTTTTGGAAGATTTACATGCATACCACTCAATTCTTATATGTGTTTCTCATGCATACATATATGTTACTTATACATGAAAATGTGAATGTAGCCTTTCAAAAATTTAAATGGTGATATTTTTGATGTTCGGGCGGCATTATTATAGAAAGCAATGTTTAGATGTTAGATATGTAAATTTATAAGAAATGGTTGGTATGTATGTAAATGCTACTTTTTATTAGAAATGCACACACTGGCATGTGCTAGGCCTTGAACTCGTACTTTATGGCTATATAGATAAAACTCTTAACCAGCTGGCTAAGTGGGCTGCACTGAACTGCATGTTTTTATTGTTGTTTAAGAATAATCAAGGGCATTTACACACATACTACACAATTCCGATGTATTTACATATTGAACACTTAAAACTTTATTTTTTACATATTTAACATCCAAATGCTTTACATAATATATAAAATATCACCATTGTCAACTTTTTAGAAGTAGCACCTTTTCATGCGCATGCAAAATGTTATAAATATAGAAAAAAATAAAATTTAGGCATGAGATACCTGAATACGTAGGAATTGTGTGATTTTTACATATTCTAAACTCAATCAGATCATATGATACTCATGTGAATATTCTTGAAAATGGCTGAACTGAAACCTCATCCGAGTGCAGAATGCAGATGATGTACTGATAAACAATCATGCGGCGGACGAAGAACTCCATGAATTTGGAGTCAGCCATGCGCGAGAGAAGCTGCGCAGAGAAGCAGCTACATGCAAAGAACCAGATTCCGATGATGAGAGCACTGCCCCCTACCCCTCCCCTGCCTCCATGGCTACCGAATCTGCATATCAAAGCCATGGAGGCGACGGTGTTAATGCTCCTCAGCAGCTTGTCGGCTACACAGGGAGGAGGAGAGGTCGCCGACCAAAGCGACGGCGGCGCGGGGGCTCTGTGGCTGGGTGGAAGACTGGAAGGCCTCCGAAGAAAAGAAAATTTTGAGGTTAGAACTCTTCCCTGTTACTGTATTTACAAACTGGGATTTTAATGGATTTGGAGATTGGATCTGATGTATATAGGGGAAGACATGGTTGCAGATTTGAAGTTTGAGCTGTCTCAGAATTTGTGTGTAAAGTGCTTCAGATTTTTTTTTTTTTTTAATGATTTCATTGACGAAGCCTGCAATAAAATTTTCTGTTTTTTTTTTTGTTTTTTGGTGCTGTGTCTTATTTTGCTTTTGCCCCAGTTCTATGATATATTTATAGATTTATTATATACATACCACTTAATTTTTATGTAAATCTTGCTTTTTTACCTCTATTTTGCTTGCCATGCATATTATATAATATCAAACAATTAAATTTTTATGTAAATCTTGCTTTTTTACGGTATTGTGCATATGTATGTACATTTCTAACACCTGAAATTTGCCTTTTGTATGCATACACAACCCAAATCTTCAATAAAAGTAACACTTTTAGCTTTTAGAAAATGAAATGCACCTTTTCATGCGCAAGCATGGTGGGGTTTATATGTAAAAATTAAAGTTTTCAAATGTTAGATATGTAAAGACATCAGAATTGAGTGTTTTGTATGCAAAGCTTCCTAAAATATTAAGTGACATATCATTTATTTAACCAATTTAATTGTATCTTTAAATTTGCATTTGTTAATGATATCTATAAGTATTCATCAAATTAGGAGGCAGTTTGTCAAAATTTTCCTACCACAAAGAAAAAAAAATCTGTACACAACAAAAACTTCTCATATAGGAGTTGCTCCAATGGGGTATGCTAATTATGTTCAAGCAAAATATTGCATAAATATTAGAATATGTTATTTAATCAATTGATTGTATGCCAACAATTATTGGTATAATTATATACTAACATGTAACATGATTATTCGCAAATTAACACCAATATTATTTTTTGAACAATCGAACTAATGTATTTACATGTGTCATGACATTGAGTGTGGATCATGGAAGAGCACCCACAACCGCAAGGAAACACCAATGCTCCCGTGTCTGCAGACAGAGCACGATGTGCCCTTGCCCATATGGGCACGCTGGCATCAATGTTTGCAGTGCTCCCAAACAGCATTTCGGGCACCTATGATCCCGATTCCAAGGACCGACGCTCCCATGCTCAGAAATGGCGCGAGCGCACCAAGTGCGGTTTACTCTCTCGTTTCAAAATCCTCCATGTGAACAATGAAGTAGACAATATCTTGTGTGCGGTGTCACAACAGGTGTCTTGTGAAGATGAAAAGGCTCGGGGAGGATTTCAGCGAGTGTTTTTTTATTGTGAGGTCAAGAGGAATGTTTGGAGTAAATTCATAGAAGTCTCATTGCTTGTAGAGAAGAGATCCAATTGAATATTTATGTACATTTCTAGTCCTTCATAATGAAAATTTCTTGGTGGTGTAGCTCTGCAGGTTTCTTGTTCTCGGGCTCTTCCACGTAAATTCTGGCGTGCCTTTTTGAGACTTGTTTTGTTCTTCTCTGTTCAAATTTTTGTTCGGATTTTTCGAATCGGCATGATCATATTCCATAGTGTGGTTTACATTTCTCATTGATCAAAGCCCTAGAAGTATATTATGCTGCATCCTAACAACGACATGATCAACTCATTGATAATTCGATAAAAGGGTGAAGCACACGGGTTTAGGCTTTATCATGAGTTTTGATATTTCGGCGAGATTTTGAATAACATTATTTTTTATTCCAACATATCAAACACATTGACTGTCAATAGGAACAGTCCCCGTATCGACCATAGTTTTCTGTGCAGGAATATTATGGCTTATTGTCATTTCAATGGTGAATATTATTGATGAATCTGAGAGATACATATCTGCATGGGCATATATCACCCAACAAAACTAAACAGCTTGTCCATTTTCCATAGCTGATTTTGTGTGTTTCACTATGTATGGATTCTTATTTGGAATTTGAATTTCTGCCATTTTTCGAGCTGGAGATAATGTCTTGATTGAGAAGATGATGGCGAGAGATCAGTGTTATGACAATACTTGGGAGTTTTGGGGGTGGCTGAAATTTCTTGAAAGTGCGGTTGTTTAATCTGTGATGGTGAAAATAACTTTTTAGAAAGTTGCTGTGACAATTATAAATATATATTAATAGCTTTCTTACAGTCATCACATTTTAACAGGTCAGGTTAAAAAAAAAAACAGTTTTCCATCACATAAATTTTTTGAAAGCAGCATTAAAATAATTACTAAAACAAAGCTGTGGTGTTGGTTTGAAATGCAAATTAGTCAAAAAGATATCTTGAACAGACCTTTAGTTGAAAGGCCAAGAGATGAAGATGACGATGGGAGAAGAGACGAATGAATGATAATCCAGAACTCACCATCTCATTATATGTATA